TGGTGGAATGGACGGATGAGAGTGGGGGAAAGGACGGGGGGAGGGTGGGGGAATGGATGGGTGGGAGTGGAAAAAACGAAGGGGGGAAGTGGGGGAGAGGATGAGAGGGGTGAGGGAAAAGGCCAGTGGGAGTGGGGGAAAGGACGAGGGGCAGTGGGGGGATGGTCAGGTGGGAGCAAGGGAAAGGGCGAAGGTTTGTGGGGGAAAAGGACGCGAGAAAAAAGGGAAAGGACGGGTGGGAGTGGGGGAAGGGAGGGTTGGCGTGGGGGAAAGAGAAGGGGAGAGAAAGGTGAATGGAATGGAAGCGTGAATGGTAGGTACTGGGTGCGTGGGAGGAAGAGAATAGTGTGAGTGCTAGAGAATGGTAGAGGGGCGGAAAGTGAAAGCATGAGGGGATGGAAATAGGAAAGGGAGAGGAGAGGCTTGGCAGCATGCCTCGAAGAGGATGGAAGCGCGAGCTGCAAAGCAAGGAAAGAGAAATGAACGGAAAGGAAGAGAAGGGAAGGTCAGGGATAGCAAGAGAAGGGACTGCAAGGGATAGGAAGGGAAGGTAGGGGAAGTGAAGGGAAAGGAAAGGAAGAAATGGGAATGGTCAGGGCGTACCAACGAGAATGAAATTGAGGGAAAGGAAGGGAAGGGAGTCATCGCGTGAGGAAAAGGGAATTGCGGTGTGTGGAAAATGGATTCGCGGTTTGAGGAAATGAGAATCACGGCGTGTGGAAAGAGAATTGCGGTGTGAGGAAAAAGAATTTGTGGTCTGAGAAAAGGGAAATGTGACGTGTGGAAAGGGGAATCGTGGTGTCACAAGAGGACAGCAAAAGCAAACCCTAATCGCGGTCATTCTCGATGAAATATGTGTGGTAAGGATCTCGCGGCGTGGAAAGAACGCACTTGTACGCGTATCCGAGGCGTGCGCAGTGTCATCAATGTCGTACCTATAGGCGACAACGACGGGCGTATACTTCTCCTTCCCTTTCCTGGGTTATGCAATGTAACGTGACGATTGGGCTTTGCTCCTTGTACAGAGTTGACTGAGTTAAGCACAACTTGTCTAGGCTTACCTAGCTCATGCGGTGACGTGGTGTTGGACAATAAATCCTGCGATGGATATTGTGACATGTCGCATTAGGTTTTGTGCGACTGATTGGCTGGGGGTATTGAGGTCACATTAGAACTCGGATAACTTTGGCGAGCTTGCTTTGGCACGCGGAACTCGTCAAACGTTTTCAACACTTCCTCTGTTCGTGGGCCAATCGCAATATCTTCCCCAATCAACCTTCCTAAGGCTGTATTTTTTTTTAGAGTAGGCATGGTGTTCTGCTCGAAAGTCCGTTAGGAGGCCCTAAACTTCCTTTGCGAGAATCAGGGTAGCAAGAAATGGTGTCTCTGGAGTGACGAAGGTTATTGCTCGGTTTCTTCACGCCCTATCACGTTGTTACACATCAGGTATACATGAATTTGCGGACGAATTCGTGAATGCATTCTGTGGTGCCCGGGTTGCGCGATCCGTAATTTGCAGTGCGATTTCGACACAAGACAAGATGAAACATCCGCAATCCTCTGATTGCAGATATGAGTTAATGTATGACGGCTAAAATAATGTTTTGCGTAGCGTCCTATTGGCGCTATTGACGGACAAGTTTTGCGTTGGTAGGCTTCGGCGTAGAATGCACCCCTTCAAATTTACCACGGAGGGATAGCCTGGGCGCGACGTATTTGCGAGGTAGGCTCGAATGTGTTTAGTCATGAGCAGACCCAAACATTTAAGAAGCATCGGCACGGATGGACAGCACAGACCCAATTTTTCTTTCACGCAACACAATTTGGTGCCTGCATCCAACAGCCCGTTCCTTAGCAAACTAGCAGCGCAACTACTCACCCTGGCCTAATCACCCGTGTTAAGGGGACACGGAGCTATAAAAAGCCTTTAGCTGCAGGGGCGATTTGCATTCGGATAGGCCGCCGCGTAGCATTCGTTGAGCGATGCCATGCGGCACACGACGAGCGCCTCGACGAGTTGCATTATGCTGGCTCGCTGCGATGCAATTGTCGAACCAGCGATACATTATTGAGTGAGACGTCGCGTTCCACCCTGCGGGCTTCTCCCTCTCGTTTCCCCCCTTTCTCCCTTTCGTTTCCCCCCCTTCCGCCTCTCATTTTCCCACCTTCCGCCTCTAGTTCCCCCCCCCTCCCCTCTCCCTCTAGTTTTCCTCATCCTCCCTTTTGTTTCCCCCCCTTCTCCCTCTCGTCCCCTCCCTTCCCCCCTCTCATTTCCCCCCCTCCCCGCTCTTCCCCTCCTCTCATTTTCCCCCCTCCCCACTCTTCCCCTCCTCTCATTTCCCCAACTTCTCCCTCTCATTTTGTAACAGATCTACTAATAAAAAGGGCATTTACCCATTTATAAATAGGTTCCAGTACAAAATTGAGAATAGCAGCTTATGAAATTTATTAAGTCTGGAGAGTGCTGGGAGATGCAGTAACATACTCTGGAAGGTAACTTGTGAGAGAGCAATCCTATTTCCCAATTGATTAGTTGGTGATAGGAATTCAAGGATGAACCAGGAGGCTCAGACCCCTTCCTAAAACCCCCTGGGGTGCAACCACCTTCTCCATAACAAGGAGAGCTGCACCTCCAAGGGCTGCACCTTCAAGAGCTTTGCCCAATTGGCAATGGTATAATTTTTTATATAATAACAAGGCACTATGGAATGGAATAAATATATTGTGTTTGCAAAATGCTATCCAAACCTGTCATGTTGCAATTGGTTGTAAATCCACCCTTTGGCGGAAACTTGTCGCCTTACTTGTGGGGCTGTTTTCTGATTGTGCTGAACTTACATTGCTTGTGTTTGAACCAACTCAAACCAATTGCGTAGGTTTAGTCAACAATGTTACAGGATTGTTCTAATCGGTTGGTTCTCCAACCAAGTCAATCCCAACCCAAGTCTCGCATCCATTCAACTTTCAACCAATCACATTTCCCCATGTTTCCCCTTCACAGCTGGTTCGACGTATCGAGACTAGGTGGGTGAATCGAGATGTTACATTTCCCCCCTTCTCGAATGGTCCTTTCATTAGTGAAGGTATCGAGGTACAGACAAGTGCACGGAAAGTGCAAAAGAGGGCCTACATATAAGACTAAACAATCATCTTCCCTATCTAGCCCTCCAGGGTTGCAAAGCAGTCCCTAAGTTCAGCACCCCCTCGGGCCCTCCTACTGGTGGGTTCTCTGCTTGCACCGCCAGGTTCAACTTCTTAAGGTTGTGCTTGTCCCCTCTGCAGGGCGACGGACCATCGCTGCCGGTACTGATACAGCATTTTTGTTGCTTGGTAGGAGGTAGGGTCCGCGTCGAAGAGGTTTCTGGCTGCTGTGTCAGCCAGCAACTTGAGGAAGGCAGGGACCTCCTCGCAGGGACACCTGTAGGTCTCCACCGCCAATGGGAAGAATCCCACCCAGGGGAGGCGTGTTTGGTAATGATTAATCTTCTTGTCCGCCATCTCCCACGCCATCCAGCCCCGTTCCTTGGTGGCGTTTTCGTCGTGGCTGCTGATTGGGTCAGTGACTGTGACGTCACACAGGTGTACCGCTCTTGAGGTATGGTCTTTGATCGCCAGGTTTGCCTTTTGATTATCCACTGGGCAGAATGCCGTTGACTCCTTATGCACTTAAAGCTCGCGTTCTGTGCCATGCGCACACATTCATCTCAAATTTCGTTGTGTGTCAGTCCTTCCGTGTCCTGTCAGTCCTTCCGTGTCCTGTACCGCAGCGAAGAAGGTGGTTGGGGAGCCGTTTATCCAGGATGGCGGTCCTCTCACGGCAGTCGCAGCGGTCAGGTACGGGGAGGGGCAGACCTAGACGGAATTGGAGTGCGAAGGCAAACAGCTCGGGGCTGAGGCGGAGGGCAGGCATGTACAGGATGGCGAGCAGCCAGTCCCCCACACCATATCTTGTTAGAGAAAGCAACCGCTGCGCATGGCCTGACAGTGGGTTCAGCTCCATTTGCCTCGAGGCCTCTAGCTACGCGGCAAAGCGGCTGCCTTGGATGATGAGGGCAAGGCCATGCTGTAGTCTGTTGGTTGGGGTGGTCTGTTCTGCAACCAGCAGCCCCCTGGCCTCCTCGCCCAATGAAGCCTCGCATTCACGGAGCCATTTCTGCAGCCGGTGCTGGTCTGTGCTGTCAGGTGGATGCCGTACTAGGGTGCCAATCAGATGAAAGCCCGTAGGGCCTGGTATGGAGCCAAGGAGGTTCTGTGATGCACAAAACTGGCGAGAAAGCTATATATGCCTACGACCGAGGGGTCCGTCATGCCCAGCCCCCCGAGGGATGGCGGCAGCGATGCTTATTCCCGTACACACTGCTCCTGTGTCATTCCTCTCATGTGGTGCACATTGCAGGCGTCTAGAAGCGTGAGGAGCTGCGCCTGGCCCCATCGGGAGCATTCAGCTTCAAGTAGGAGGTGGAGGGGTGTGGTGCGGGCTAGGTACGAAACGCGCCTCGAAATGCATCTGGGAAGAAGAAGGTTGGCCATCTGCAGGTCCATTTCCGTAATGAGGGGAAGCGGAGCAGCCATTTTGGTGAGCTGGTCGCGCAGGAACGTAGCCACTCCATGATCTGGGCCTATGTGACTGCCCAGGACGCGCAGAGGTTTTCGTCCAGTGGGCTCTGGCTCCAGGTCGGGCACTTCTATGGGTTGTGAGCTAAGTGGCGATATACGCGTATAACGTATATACGAGTGTCGTATATACGCACGCGTATATACGCTATTCGCAAAGGTCCCGAAACCCTAGATACGTTATTTTGGGCAAGTTAAAAAAACTTAGGGCAAATAAAATATGACCCCCCTGATATACTTCTGGGGTCAGTTTCCGCCGGGGGTTGGATTTCTCGGTTTTTTTTTCCCGACTAAAAAATTTTCACCAACAACATTACAATGACAAACACTCATCTCATACTACTACAAATACTACTATTCACGCTACTCTAGCTCAATTAACCTACCTATGTATACTCATCCCCATCTTCCCCCTCCTCCTCCTCCTCGTCCCCCTCCACCACATTGTAGCCCTCGGGCACGGAAGGCTCCGACATGTTCTAGAGCACCACACAAGGCATGACATCTGCACGGGAATGCTAGTTGCACACAACGTTCCAGTTGTTTACAACAAAAACCAAATCTCGGCACTTGGCAGAGCCAAGACGGTTTCGGCGGGCCGTGTGCACCCCATCCCACGTTGACCATCCCCTCTCGCATGGTGAAACCGACACGGGCTGAGAGAGAGTCCTGATGACGAGGGCCGCCAGCTTTGGTGCGTCAGTGCCGCCCCACTGCCACCACTTTACCATGTTATACTTGCCCTCCTTGACCAAGTTTCTCTGAGCAATTGCATCCACCAACAACATTATAAAGCTTCCCTTTATATCAAAAAATGCCCTCACCCCTTCTTGTAGTTCCATCAAAAACTCGCCAATACCATCCCCATCATCCCACTCCTTCCTGTGATTGCTGAGGTGCTTGGCGTGTTGAGTGATGAACGCTTTGGATACCTTAGTGCACTCCGTATCAGAGCCAAAGATGTCTTCATCCTGGTTCGCCGGGTGAAAAATCCGGCCCGCAACGTGCATGGGGCAGGCCAGGCTGCCGTCCCACCTGTTCTTCAGCAGGCGGTGGATGTGCACTTTGTCGGAGTAGCTCAGCTGCTCCTCATCCTCCTCCACCACTATCCCCACATCCTCGATCAATGGCAGCATCATGTCATACATGCGGCCCATCATCCCCTTGGCATCCCCATCGGTCTTACGCATTGCCATGAACGGGAGCTTCATCAGCTTGCAGAAAAACTCCGCCGTTTTCCACCACGCATCATCAAGAACTTGCGCTGCAAACTTTCTTTGCAGCCTTCTTCCTATCCCCAACTGCCCAGCCCTTCCACATATCAGACACCACCATCTGTGCAAGCGACTGCCGCAGCTCACAGAGACGGGACACAACAATGTACTGTGTCCCGAATCTTGTTCCAGCTGGTTTCAGCGCCTGCAGCATCTTTGCACTCACCAGTTCTGGGGTCCTTAAGTATCCCCTCATCAAGTGGTGGTTGCGGACGAAGGAGCTGATCTCGCCCGCAGGGTCCTCCACCTTCTTGGCCCACGGCATCTTACCGATGTCCTCCATGAAGAGGTACATGACGTGGGTGGCACATGGCACGTGTTGAATGTGCGGTCGTTCCGCGATCAACTCGTTGCACGCCACCGCGTAGTTGGACCCACCGTCTGTGCAGAACGCCACCATGTTCTCCAGACCGACCTCCACCATGGGCTTGAGGATGCTAGCGACCACCGGTTTTGGTCTCCATGCGGCAATCCACGCTGTCTTTGAACACCGCGTCACTGTCTTTGACGAGAAACACGTTCACCTGGGGGTGACCGTTCTTATCGGTCATCATATCAGAAGCAACTGTCACGCAGGTCCGCTTCCAGCTCGCCTTCACTCCAGAAAGCCCCTTGTCGATGTTCTCGCAGCAGAGTCGCAAGCCCGCCCCGCCGATGAACGTCCGCTTCAGGGGGACGTATCCAGTGCCGGCGTCCCCAATGTCACAGACGGCGTTGATGAAGAGAGGGTGCTCCGCGACGCGCTCCGGGATGCGACACGCCTCGAACATGAGCGCCAACGCCTCATGTGCATCGCACTTCCCAGCTGCCGCATCCGTCTCCAAGTAGTCAGTAATGCGGCTCCTCTTTCCGCTACTGGTGACCGACGCAATGGCATCCGATGTCGCCTGGCAGCGCTGATCCGCCACTGCAGCCTTAGCCTCGTAGAACCTTCTTCCGCATGGCAGCCCGAACTTCAGAAGGGGCTTCCTTGCATATCGCCACTTCGCGGCGCTTCATCTTCCTCCAACTCGCCAAGTGCTCCGCGCAGCGGATGGCGGCACCAGAAAAAACATTGCAGCGGTACTTGCATTCGTACTCTTGCGATTTCCACTCATCCACCTTTATGCGGCCGAAATGCCTTGAACACCTCGTGGTCAACATCCGGAAGGTAAACTCGCGTCGCGTTAACAGGACTGGCCGTGCCGGTATTAGGAGGGGGAGTGGACTGGGTCGGGTTAACAACTACAGAAGCCATTCTAAAGAGGTCCGTGAATGTAAATGGGAGGATGAATTGACGAGATAGAACAATACCTGCTTGTTAAGTAGCGTGGGATGGATTGGTGGGGAGAAGCTGGATTGGAGGGAGTTTGTAGATCGAGAGCGGTACAAATTGGTGGAACTCTAATGTGAAACGTCAAGGACATCGGGACTCCAAACATTGGAGCCACGTAACCCAACACACAGTTGCAGGGCTTCCTATTGAAAGCACGGAAACCAACCCACCTCCATACATTAAAGCCACATCCAGGCCAGGGTAGATCTCGGACGTGCATTCCGAGCAAGGCATCTTCTTCGCTGTGAGAAGACGGAACTTTTTTTTTTCATGTAAAAAAAAACCAAATCGTATTGCGTAATCGTTAGCGTATAGCATTTTGCAGCAAGCGGATAAACGCTATGCGCTTAAAGCCAGGGTCTCAAGTACTACGAGTGTTTTGCAGTTGCTGTTGAAAGTTGGGCTGTGATTGGTTGGCGAGGTGAAAGGTTTGAAGTGGGGAGAAGCGAGGGGTGCGAAGCGAACGCAAATCGTTGGGTGTATCCGAACCTGCTAGAGTTGGAAACTTGGTTCGGAACCAAACCTAAAATGCCCCCAACTCATCGAAAGTCTCAAGTACCCAAAAGTGTTGTGCAATCGCTTATGGGGCACTGATGGGGTGTGTCGCACACTGATTTTCCAACCCAACCATTCGTCTGCAATAACTAGGTAACCTAGCTTCAACTGCAAAGCAGTTGACAGCTCCTTAGCCAACTTGAGACCATGGCTTTAAAGGAAAAGCGTTTTTTGCCACTTGGGTTGTGAGACAGCCCCACATCCGCCAATTGAGATGTGAAATGGTTGAACGCGGCCGCGCAATCCGCAGCTGCTCCAAGGAAGGTGACGTCGTCTGCGAATGAGAGGCAGAGGACGGTTGGGAAGGCTGCTGCATTGTTGCTGAGGGCCGGATGCATGCCTGCCGCGAATAGCTGGGGGCCGAGAGGGTCGCCCTGACGTACGCCTGTTTGGCTTAGTAGTGGCTCACTATGGAAATCGGCGTCCAGGAAGAGTTGGGACGGTGCTCCGTATGGGAGATAAATTAATGGTAGTAGGCTTTCAAGGGTCGTCCCCCTTACGGCTTTGACAATGTCGTCGCGGTTGATACTGTTGAATGCGTTCGCCAGATCTGCCTGCATGATGAGGGCGCCTGAGTTCGTGCTCAGGTAAGCCCGTGCAGCGTGAATGATATCTTCGCTGCCTCCTTGGACAGCAACACTCAACTGAAGCAAAAGAAAGAATGAGCGGGCGGTCTTGGCTATGGTGAAGAGGGCGGATTTGGCAGCAACGCGGAGGAGGCACTCTCCGATGGCGATGAGTCTGGTGCCTCCTTCCGCTTTTTCCAAGGCGAGTAGCCTTGACGAGGTGAGTAGGTCATTGATTTCGGCTGGGAGGGACCCACGCATGATTGTGTTGACTAGGGCGTGGAGGTGGCTGTTGACTGATCCGTTTGTGATGGCTGAATCTCTGAGATGCTCGAAGGTCAAACCTGGCGGGCCGGCTCCCACCCCGGTTCCAGTTCTGCACAGCAGCTTCATGAAGGCAGCATTGTCAATGGAGGGAGGTGTAACGGAGGGGTTGGTGGTCCATTTTATGGAATCCTCGTTCGGGATTGGGTGCTAGGATCTCAGGGCGTCCAGCACCTCGGCTGATGCGGAAGCCACTGGTGTAGCCTCCAATGCCCATCACTGCTCTGCGCAGACTTCCTTTTCGCGCCAGGCCCTCTGCATGGGAGCGCCTGCCCAAGTTGTCAGGTTGGTAGCGGGGGGAGGTGGCGAATTGACAGCGTCCAGAGCCGCTGCATATATGCTGAATTGGTTGAGGAGTGCTGTAATGGTTGGCCAATCCGGTTTCTTGGGGTTTGTCTGTCGCTGCAACAAACGCGGGTTGAAAAGCAGCAGGCGCCATCCGGCGACTGACTCCGGATTCTTGGCGAAGTGTAACAGCGGCGTTAGCAGTGCCATGGCGAATCGGGGTCGGGTATCCCGCGAGGGTTTTCTTGACAGAGGGGCCTGGCGACTGTCGCGAAGTGGGGTCAGGTCCCAGGTTCCCACCTCGTCGAACTGGGATTGTTCCTTCACCAGTTTTTCAGGCGAAAATTGGCGGGGAGGCTCAGTGGTTGGGATTTCCCCCCTTCTCCCTCTCGTTTCCCCCCCTTCCGCCTCTCATTTCCCCCCCTTCTCAATCTCATTTTCCCCCCCTTCTCCCTCTCATTTCTCCCCCTTCCCCCTCTCGTTTCCCCCCCTCCTCCCTCTCGTTTTCCCCCCTTTCTCCCTCTCATTTCTCCACCTTCCCTCTCTCGTTTCCCCCCCCTCCTCCCTCTCGTTTCCCCCTCCGCCTCTTGTTTCCCCCCCTTCTCCCTCTCATTTCCCCCTCTCGTTTCCCCCCCTCCTCCTTCTCATTTCCCCCTCCGTGTCTACTCATTTCCCCCTCTCATTCCCCACAATTCCCTTCTTCGTCCCCTCGATTCCCCCTCTCCTTCCCCTCCTTCCTTCTCTCCTTCCCCTCCTTCCGCCTCTCCTTCCCCTCATTCCCCCCTCTTTCCCCTCATTTCCCCCTCTCCTTACCCTCATTTCCCCCTCTCGTTACCTTCATTTCCCCATCTCCTTCCCCTCATTTCGCCCTCCTTCCCCTCATTCTCCCTTTCCTTACCCTTATTTCCCCCTTTGTGTCCCCTCATCTCCCCCTCTCGTTTCCCATATTTTCCCTACTCAGCCCCCTCGTTTTCCCCTCCCCTCATTTCTTCCTCTCGTTCCACAAAATCCCCCCCCTGTCGTTCCTCGCATTTCCCCTTCTCCGTCCTCTCCTCTCCCTCTCCCCTCCCTTACTCCTCCTTCCCCTCATTTTCCCCTCTCCCTCACCTCATTTCCCCTTCTCCTTTCCCTCATTTTCCCCCTCCTTTACTCCTCCTTCCCCTCATTTTCCCCTCTCCCTCACCTCATTTCCCCCTCTCCTTTCCCTCATTTTCCCCCTCCTTCCCCTAATTTCCCGCGAGGAGGTTCCGGGTGAGTGCAAAACTGTGTGCGGTGCATACAGGCATATAGGGACAAATCGTTTGCGCCGGAGTAGTCCGCCCTTGCTCTTATGTTGCCACGTCACGAATGCGCTTGTCAGCTCTCCAGTTGTCACACAATCAGCTCCCACAACCCACTGAGTTCAAGCCTCTCACGTGTTACCCTGCTTGGGGACGAGCGGATGGGACCCGCACAGGCTATGGAGTTCAATAACTGCGTTCTGTTGGCGCATAGGTTTTTCTCTACCTATACGATAAATGTTCTACACATGTGCATGACAAGGCTTGGAGCCGGAGAAAATCGCTAGAGTATATCGAACCTCTGGTGCAGAAGTTGTGCGCGCGCCTCGTTGTACATTACTTTCATCCATAAAAAGGTACGTTGGTAACTAATCGATGAAAAAAGGTAACAACAATAGTGAAATACCTGCAATCAAATTAGAATGTAACCACCATACGTCAATATTACCCCAATCATAGAGAAAGAATATGAAGTTTAGTAAAAGAAATGGAATTCAATTAGACACACTTGTAAAATTATATGTGGTGCAAGTCAGTTGTTTCATTGAAGTTCATCAATCGTGGATTAGAAATTCCCAACAATACTTGGATGGCACACGTTCCTAATAGTCACTTTTCAGCAATGAAGCTGTGTTTCTTTTTTTCCTACCATTAGCAACAAACTGAAAGTTAAGTCAATTGAAAACAAACTTACACTAGAGAAAGCTCTGTGCATTCTTTTCAATAGCAAGTGAAGCACGCAAGAAAGAATACGAATGTGAATGTTAGAACAACGAAAAATGTCGCGTACGGTTGGCAGCATGTTGACCGTCGAAGCAAAAGCATCGTGACAGTTACAGCACGAAGGAGTTGGCAGAAACAATTTTGAAACCGTTTCCATGCCGCAAGGTTGAATCTCGCTGTAAAATGGGAATAATTCCTTTAGAGTACATGGCAAGCTAGGGCGCGTGGTATTTCCTTGCTTTTTTTTATAAACGTATGTATGCCTTTTGTTAAAAAGACTTCAGTCATTTCATATTCACTCTGATGTAAGGTCACCATTCGACTATAATGACACTGTGCAAACCATCCTGATGTGATCATGGCACAATCAACTTTTTGATCGGTACATCATATGAGAGTGACTCAGAAATCATTCACACTACCACCCCGACTCCTTCGGTGTGTTAGAGACTAAGGACTGAGTCTGTAAAGATTAGGAGGCCAAATTTCTCAAAATCGTTGGCTTGAAATTCTGGACAGAAAAGTCGTGTTCACAAGAAACGTTGTCGACGAAAACCTAACCGTTTGAATTCCGTCAAAATCGAGTATGTTATAGCCCTTGACTAAGGCTATCTTTCCCAATTTGAATCGTATCAAATGATGAATCATATCTCGAGTTATCAATTTTGGCGCACTAGGGGGTAGGCTGCCACAAGTTTAACCCAATCACAATTATCCTCAAAGATTCACACAAGTTACACACAAGAGAGTTAGAGTAGCACTAAACCAGGTAGGAATGAAGAGGAGGACGAGAGGGAAGGTCCCAAGGGAGTCCCCAACCAAGGAAACCCCATACCACACAATTCCCTTTCCAATAGGCAACCCAACTTTGACCTTTGTCACTATCCCAACCTCCAAAATCCACCTCAACCCACTTGGCCACACTTGCCAACCTGGTTTGGCTTCACCCAACCACTTGGCAGCATCTACAGTGGGAGTTACGAATTTCCCAACCCCAGAAGGTTTGTACCCCATATTGAGTCACTCCCACAACTTCCCAATGTAGCTGCAACCAAAATATACAAGCGTACGAACTCCAATGTTCGTAACTTTCTTGGTTGTGCTCCGATCGCGACGATTCTTGGTTCGTCGGAAAGCTCTTGATCAGAAAAGTCACTTCAGATATCTACTCAATCCAAACGACATTCACAAACACTCAGAAAATTCAAACCACACAAAAACACAAATTCTTGCACACGCTCACATCACGCATGCAACACACGAACACATGATGGGAGGCAGACAGACGTGAATGCATATGATTGCATCACACAACAAACTCCCCCTCTGGCTGCCAACCATCATCCCACATGTCATAGCTCAAGCATGCACCCTCAATGCACACTCATCCCAGCAAGTTTCATGCCCTTCCAATGCTCAGGTTCTGCCAGGCGCTTGGTGAGAATGTCAGCCGCCTGCTGCTGGGTCTTCACAAGCTCCAGTCGCACCTCCTTGTCCAGGAGCCTCCTTGTCCAATGCCACTTGGGCCTGTTGTGCTTTGTCAGACCATGGAGACAAGCATTCTTTGGCAAATACTTCTTACACCTAGAGCTTCGAGTTGGACGTGCTGCAGCAGAACGCCCATATTTATCACTATTAAGAGGGCAGCTATGCGGGACCTACGTACGACACTGACGACGCCAGAATGCAATACTGCACGACTAAATTCTTCGTCACCAACGTGCTTGCCGGACTCGGCCTTGAGTGGCGACCCTACAAGGCGGTTCTTCCACAACAGGGGGCTATCTCAAAAGGCACTCTTTGCGCCGCTCTTCTCGTCTAACAACAGGATATCGATCAGCACCGGGAGTGCCCTGCGCCCCGACGATATCGACTCTCCTTCTAGACTTATAACAAGGAAGAGCGACGGCCGCGGCGCCTTTATAGCAAAACCTGCAGATTTTTTTTGGCATTCGGCGGAGTGATGCAAGTTCCACTCCAGCCATAACCTGTCCAACCTGAGCACTTGGGCCGGCCGACAGGACGCAAGATAGGATACATGTCAACACGAGGGCTTTCAGCCTGTGCCGCGCAACTCGAACCCAACGCTTCAGCAGCAGCAGTTGTCGCAGCATGGAGCCCCGCGCAACGTTATCAGCAACATGGCGACGCGCCACACACGGGAAACTTTCTGTCGCCGCGTGTGCACGCCATACCAGAACGAGGGTCGCACCCCAATTAGGGCATTCAAGGAAAATAAACCCTTTACCCCGACTACGACCATGACGACGACCGGGAGTGGGATTCCCCAGTCCCGCTACTTGAAAACCCCCCCCCCCCCCCCGCCCCCCCCCACACACACCTTTGTCTAGGGCAGCGCCCATTGGCTTGATTTTGCGCAAGTAGTTTCTGAAGTTTGACACCCCACACATCATGACGTCGCGATTTGGGCTCCTCGTGCGCAACAATTGCAAGAACCACAACAAGTGGTATCTCGATAGCTGTTGCGGGCAGCACATGTTAGGTTCCAAGCGCTTCATCTCCAACGCTATCGCCACACCTGCTGTCACCTACATCACGTTGGCGAAGAACAATCGCTTACGCGCAAGCGCACAAGGGATCGCCATCCTTAGGGCGCGTGGAGGCAACATGCACACCACACTAAACGATGTACATATCGTGCAGAATCTTCGATTCGGCCTTCTGTCGGCATCGCAGCTGATGGGCTGTGGCATGCATAATCGTACACTACGTGCTACCCAACAAGTCACATAAGGTAATTGGGAAACTGGCAACAATAACAAATGAAAACTAGCACAAATGAGCTTGGAAAAAAATAGATATGAGGATGTAGTGGTAAGTATAGTTGTTGTACTCTCACAACCACAGCTGAGACCCTGACGAGTGCCAGTCTGAACCAAGTACTGACAGGGAGTCGGAGTGGCACCACAGGATGACCAACTAGGTGGGCCACCATTACGTCCAGCACTCCTTGGTCCACCAGATCCCCAATGCTGAGGCTGCTGCTGCACCTACACAACCTCCGCCAACCCCTCCACCTCCACAATCGCCACCACCCTTCCCTCCTCGCTTACCTCCCCTGGCTTGGGTCAGCCCACTAGCGACGGACACAGCTGCGATCTCGTTAGAAGTATGAGGCCTAGTATAGGCATGAGAAGAAGTGAAGGTGGGGAGCTGTGAAACAGTACACCCCTGAAAGAGAGGGAGAACTACCGCGCCAGAAGCGGAGGCAACGGAGCAAAGGTTGCTCACAACATCCTTGAGTGCTGCCTCAAGGACGGCGATAGTGAGCTCACTAGGGTGCTGCCTCATTGCGTACAGGTGCGAGGCGGTCAGGGAGGCAAGTGACTATGAAGTAAATAGTGGTTGGCATGGGCGGGGGGAGTAGTGCAAGCTCAGCCTCAGTGCAAGCAGCACAGAAGCTGGTGTTGAGCTAGCGCAGGTGAGTGACCGGTCAGCAGTATGGTCAAACGCTCCTAGCTGGGGGAACCGGAATGGCATTAAGAGATGACTAAGAGAGGCGGAGGAGGAAGTGGAGTAGCGGGTCTTAATTGCAGCAAACAAGTCCTTGGCAGATCAAATCTTGTTGAAGCAAGCCTCATCAATATCTAGGACAAGCAAGCCAAGAGCAATGCAAGCCGCACCAACAGAGCTGTACGGGCCTGATCGGAACGCTCGCGTTCTGCGTCAGTAGGCTTAGCAGGTAGGGCAGCAGGGGACGGAGGCGAAGGCAAGTCACCAGAGGCGTGCGCCCAGAGCGTATCAGTATTATGGCGCTAACTCTGGAGGTATCTTTCGGCACGGAGGAGCCAGGAGGGGAAGTATAGTTGACGCCATGGCGAGAGTGCTCTTGCTAGGAGTGCAAGGCTAGGAACGGCCTGAGCTAGGAACGAATGAAAGACGTACGCCGCTAGAAGAAAAGGGTGTAGGAAAGGACAGAGCAAGTAGCGAACTAAACTAGAGTGGTTAGCCTAGGAACACTGGTCACACCTAGTGGGGAAACCTATGTCGTGCCAGGAGAGACAACTGTAGCAGAAAACCATAATAAGTGGTAACTAATCGGTGAAGCGGCTTCCAGCCGCAAGTGCGAAGACCGCTAATGAAAGGAACATTGGATGGTGGCCAGCACCAGTAGGGCGGTAAAGTCGAGAAACAGAAACTAGCGGACAGATGCTTGGCAGTTAAGGCTAGAGTAGAGCTTTCCAGTGCGGCTCCAATGGCGAGTGTACGAGGTTCTGCCGTTCGTGCGCAAGCAGCTGCTGAAGGCGTGTGCGTAGCTGTTGCACCTAGGCGCGCGACTGCTGCAGGTGCATGTATGGTTGCTGCTAGGTTGGGTGCGTTAGGCTGCAGCTGTGATGCGCTCGCGCTGCTTGAGCGCGCTTTGTTGCGCGTGTCAAACTATATATATGTTATATTTGTGTAGGCTGTAGTGGGGTAGCCAATATGGGGTACAACCCCTCTAGGGTTTGATACTTGTACCCAACTTTGACCTAATGCATTCATTTCCTGTCTCTAGTTTTTTTTTCACATGGTTTCAGAGCAGTAGGTCCGTATGATCGTCTTTTTTTTCGGGCCCACCTACCGCTACCCCACGATTGTGATTGTTACTGTGTCTATGACGCGATGCGCTGCGCGCGCCGTCTGTTTGAACAGTCTGCTGCTGCTTCGCGCGCAGCCTTAAGCCCTGCGCGCGCTGCCCGTTTTTTGCCCCGCGCGTCGCCCCTGGTGCTCGCGTCGCGCCTCAGCAGTCCGCGCGCGGCTCGCTACTGCCCTACGCACCGAGCCCGCGCAGCCCGCGCCGAGCCCGCGCAGCCCGTGCGCGGCCCGCTACTGCCCCACGCACCGACCGCGCAGCCCGCGCCGAGCCCACGCAGCCCGTGCGCGGCCCTCAACTGCCCCGCGTACAGCCCGCACAGCCCGCGCCGAGCCCGCACAGCCCGCGCGCGACTTGCAGCTGCCCCGCGCACCGCCCGAGCAGTCCGCGCCGAGCCCGCACAGGCCGCGCGTGGCCCGCTGCAGCCCTGCGCGCTGCCCTGCCTGCTCGTGCCGTGCCTCTGCAGCCTCCGTGCGGTCTACTGCTGCTCCGTGCCTGCTGCCTATGTCTGCTGCCCTTGCCTGCTGCCTCTGCCTGCTGTCATCACCTACTGCCTTTGCCTGCTGCCTTTACCTGCACTGCGATTATGACGACGCCTCACGTTCTCGCGTTTGAGCCTGACGGTAGCTCGATAGAGTTCACAGTGTGGCTTGACAACCTCCAGCTGTTTCTTATGACTGATGCCAAAGATGGTGTTTCACTGTTCGCTCATGCGTACGTCTGGCACTGCCGTTGCTCCTGCTGACGATGCTCCTGCTCTTGACCGCTCACAGTGGCAGACTCGCGATGCTGCTGCGCGCCTCGCTATTCGCAATCATCTGCCGATCCCCGAGCGCGCGCACTTTAGCCTGCACAAGACTGCTAAGAGCGTGTAAGATCCCCGTGCACACATTTTGGCTGAATTCTATCGATCATTTGGTTGTCAAAACCTTCGCGAAGGTCGACAGTTCAGTCGTAACATAGTCGACCAATTTTCGGACTTAACAGTGTAGCGTCCAAATCTGACACATTTTTGCTGGCCGTTATTACGAGGGTGGAATATTTCGGTTTGTTTTTTTGTACGACTTGGTGCGACAATGTCGCACACATGTATGCGAGGTCGCAATCTCACTGTAGCACCGTATGCGAAGCCGTTTTTTACTGTAGCAAGCTGTTGTCGACAACATGGCCGAGTTGAAGTCGACCATGTGTCGGAAAAGAGTCGACTTGTTTTACGGCCACCAAATCACAAATTAGATGGTCGACATTGGCGAGTTTCGCAAACATATAGACGACGGTCGCGAAGTGGTTACTTTCGCAACGGCCGCCTAATATTGGTTGCCGAATCTGTGTGCACAGGGATCTTACACGCCCTAAGGGACTGTATGACGCTGTAGTTGCGCGCTACTCCTCCCCGGCCACTGCAGCCCTAGGTCGTCTCATGCTACCCTACCTGTTCCCCGACCTGTCCTCGTTTCACACTGCTGAGGACCTCATCTTTCACCTGCGCTCTAGCGACACTCGCTTTCGTTCCGCCCTTAAGGACGAGTTCCTCGCCAAGAACACCCCTCCGATGTACTTTACGCTCTACTTCCTTGTCACCCGCCTCCCTGACTCTCTTCGCTCAGTCAGGGACCACTTTCTCGCTCTAGACCCTACCGCTCTCACCGTCGACGACTTTGAGACGCAGCTCCTCGCAGTTGAGAAGAACATCAGGTGCGGCTCGTGGCACTCCTCGCACTCCCCTCTTTGAGGGGTGCTCCCCCTCCCCCCTTGCCCCCTCCCACGCCTCTGCTGCTGCTGCTGTCGACTTCCTTGGTGCTGAGGAGGTTGGGGCCGCTTCTACTCCTAGTGGGAAGAGCCGCAGCGCCAGGGGTAGAGGGGCTGGCAGGGGAGGTGGGGGTGGCGGTGGAGGGGGTGGTGGTGGTGGTGGCGGCGGAGGTGGAGGAGGTGGGGGTGGTAGAGGCGGTGGCGGAGGTGGTGAGGGCGGCGGTGGTACCGGGAGCAGTGGCGGTGGCAGCGGCGGTAGTGGGGGAGGAGCCAGTGGTGGTGGTAGCAGTGGTGGCCAGGGAGCAACAGCAGCAGCAGCAGCAGCCGCAGCAGCAGCAGCAGCAGCAGCAGCAGCCACAGCAGCAGCAGCAGCAGCAGCAGTCGCAGCAGCAGCATCGACAGCGCCAGGCCCCCTCGTCCCAGCAGCTCCATGACTGGTATGCCGGGCGTGGGGCGTCTGGGGGTCCTGGTCACTGCCCCTATATCATTCGCGCAGGTCCCCGCGCTGGTTGCCCATGCAATGGTCTGCACACTGAGTATTGCTGCTTTGCTCGGCTTAGTGACGCCTGGCGCGTCAAGTTTCCTGCGGCTACTGAGTTGCCCAACTGGGCAGACCTGCTTAGGCGTGGTGTTCCTATCTTTGATCTTGACTATGATGCTGCCATGTATGCATTGACTGTTAGTGCTGAGGGTGACTGCTACTTGTGTATGCCGCCTGATCCAGGTATAGGAACTACAGCCCTAGGTGCTAGTGAGTCTGCTCCCCCTGGTACTGCGTCGGCTCAGGCCTTGCACACGTTTACACTTGACTCTGGTGCTTCCCGCTGTTTCTTTCGCGATAGCACCACCGTCACTCCCCTCCCTGCACCTGTCCCTGTCTCACTGGCTGACCCCTCTGGGGGCCCAGTGCTTGCACGAGCCACGACTGTGCTTCCGTGCCCAGCGGTCCCGTCTGGTGAGCTGTCAGGTCTCCACATCCCCTCGTTCTCTACGAACCTGGTGAGCAATGCCGTCCTCCAGGACAACTGGGTTGACACCTAGACTCCTGGAGGATAGTGTGTGGCGATCCTCACGTGCTCCAAGACTGGCCGCCACCTGGCCACGTTCACTCGTGAGCCTGGGTCCAGTCTGTACACCCTCACCACTGTTTCACGCTACACCCCTTTGTCTCCTCAGCTGTACGCGTCTGCTCAGGTAGCTACCCAGTGTGAATGTCGCCGCCTGTCACACAACACTCTCCTATGGCACCACCGCCTTGGTCACCCCTTGCGTCGAGGGGCAGCAGCGCGCCGCTCCTCACTCCTCCTCGTTCCCTCCCACAGAGGCTCCGCTGCAGACTCTCCACCTGGACGTGTGGGGCCCAGCCCGCGTCCAGGGGCAGGGCCGCGAGCGGTACTTCCTGCTGGTTGTCGACGACTACTCGCGTTACACCACGGTCTTCCCCTTGCAGCGCAAGGCGGATGTCCCTGCTGTCCTGATCCCTTGGATCCGCGCTGTTCGTCTCCAGCTCCGCGAGCGGTTCGAGCGGGACTTTCCTATCCTGCGTCTGCACTCTGACAGAGGTGGTGAGTTCACCTCCGACCTCTTGCAGGCCTTCTGTGAGGAGCACGGCATCCGCCAGTCGTTCACGCTTCCGGCCTCTCCGCAGCAGAATGGGGTTGCTGAGCGCCGCATTGGCTTAGTCATGGAGGTCGCTCGTACCTCCATGATCCATGCAGCGGCTCCCCATTTTCTGTGGCCGTTTGCGGTCCGGTACGCTGCGCATCAGCTCAACCTCTGGCCCCGTGTCTCCTTGTTGGAGACCCTGCCCACGCTGCCTCGCGTTTCCGGGTCTGGGGTGCTCGTGCCTTTGTCCGCGATCTCACCGCGGACAAGCTCTCCCCTCGCGCCATTCCCTGCGTCTTCCTTGGTTTTCCTCCTGACGCACCTGGCTGGCAGTTTTACGACCCCACCTCGCGCCATGTCTTTGCGTCTCAGGACGTCACGTTCGACGAGTCGGTTCCCTTTTACCGTCTCTTTCCCTACCGCACTGCCCCTCGCACCGCCCCCCCAATCTTTCTCGCTCCAGGTCCTTCCCATTTTGACCCCCTCCCCGCGCCAGGTCCTGCTCCTTCAGGTGTTTCTCAGGTTAAACCTTCTGTTCCTGCGCCTGTTGAGGTCACTGGTGACTCAGGTCCTGCTGGGGGTGGTCCTGCTCAGGGTACTGTCTCTGGGGGTGCTGAGCCTGGGGGTACGGAGCCTGAGCGAGAGGAGCCTGGAGGTGCTGAGCCTGGGGGTGCGGAGTCTGGGGGTGCTGTGCCTGAGCGTGAGGAGCCTGGAGGTGCTGAGCCTGGGGGTGCCGAGTCTGAGGGTGCTGAGCCTGCGCGTGAGGGGCCTGAGGGTGTTGAGCCTGGAGGTATAGAGCCTGCGCGTGAGGAGCCTGGAGGTACTGCGCCTGGGGGTACTACGTCTAGGGGTGCTGAGCCTGAGCGTTAGGAGCTTGGGGGTGCTGAGTCTGAGGGTGCGGCGCCTGAGGGTACTGCGACTGCTGGTGCGCGGTCTCCTTGGGATGGCCGCCTTTGTCCGGTACGCCTCTCACCTCACAGCAGCTGCACGACTGGTACGGTCGCCGTCAGGGTCGTGCTGCTGGAGCTCGGAACTCTACCGCTGGAGGTACTTCTGCTGACGTCGCTGGAGCTAGGAGTGGTGCTGGTACATTGTCTTCTGGAGGTGCTGGAGTCGCTGGTTCTGGAGGTGCTCGTACTGGAGGTACTAGAGCTGCTGGGGCTGGAGGTGCTGCGTCTGGAGGTGCTGCTGCTGGAGACACTGAGGCTGGAGATCCTGGGACTGGAGGTGCTGGTTCTGGGGGTGCTGCTGCTGGAGACACTGAGGTTGGAGACCCTGGGACTGGAGGTGCCGGTTCTGGGGGTGCTGCTGCTGGTGGCGCTGGTCCTGGAGGTACTGGCGCTAGGGGTGCTGGAGGTGCTGGAGGTGCTGGTGCTGGTGGCACTGCACCGACGCGACTGTTCTTCGCTCCGCCGTCTCCGTCGTCTCAGCCACCGCCTGACTCTGTGCTTCGCCAGGTTCTTAGTCTCCCGTCTTCCACTGGTCGTCCATTGCAGCCTGGCTCACCGCTGCCTGCTCCTTCTCTTTACACTGAGCAGACAGAGGGTCTTGCTGAGCGCCGTGAGCCTGTGTCGCGTCCTGTATCTCTTGTTCGTCCTAGTCGTACCGGTCGTCGTGTTCCTCGTCAGCGTCCGCCGGTTGTCCCCGGCGCACACCTCATCGCCCTTCGTCCTTCCTCTGCTCCGCAGCGTGTTCCCCTGCCGTCTCCCCCTGCGTCCTCTCTACCTGACGTTCCGAACCCTGGGTCTGACCGGTTTTGTGCTGCCCACCCTACTGTCGCGCGTATGTTAGCCACTGTTGTCACTGACCCGTCCTTTGAGTCTGCTGCTGCATCTGCCTTGGTCGCTGAGCTTGTTGACTTTGCTGCTGCCTGTCGTCTAGACTTCGCTGCCAGTCTTGTTGCTGAGTCTAAGTCTGTCTGTCCTCCGTCCGTCGGGGGGTGAGTGTGCTCTTGGCACGAACGTCCTTGAGGACAGACAAGAGGACCTTGAGTGTCTTGCGATCGCTGTGCCTCATCTCATGGCCATGCTGCTTGCCCCTGAGGGAGACCCGGATGCACCAGACATCCCGACCCCGCACTCTTACGCTGAGGCGATCGCGGGTGACTACTCTTCTCAGTGGCAGACAGCCATGGACGCAGAGATGGCATCCTGGAAGTCCACAGGCACCTACGTCGATGAGGTTCCCCCCCCTGGGGCGAACATCGTCGATGGCATGTGGATTTTCAGGGTGAAGCGGCCGCCAGGTTCTCCGCCTGTCTTCAAGGCTCGTTACATTGCTCGAGGCTTCAGTCAGCGAGAGGGAGTCGACTTCTTCCAGACCTTCTCCCCCACCCCGAAGATGACCACTCTTTGGGTACTGCTGCACGTTGCCGCTCAGCGTGACTACGAGCTTCACTCGCTGGACTTCAGCACAGCCTTCTTACAAGGCAGCCTGCACGAGGAGATCTGGCTGCGCCGCCCACCTGGCTTCATTGGGTCGTTCCCTCCCGGTACCCAGTGGAGCCTCCGGCGGCCAGTCTACGGTCTCCGCCAGACGCCTCGTGAGTGGCACGACACACTGAGGACTACACTTGCGGCTCTTGGGTTTGCGCCTTCGACAGCTGACCCGTCGCTGTTTCTGCGCACCGACACTTCACTGCCGCCGTTCTACATCCTCGTGTACGTCGACGGCTTGGTCTTTGCCACTGCTGACACAGAGGCTCTCGCCTTGGTGAAGTCGGAGCTGCAGAAGAGACACACGTGCACTGACCTGGGTGAGCTGCGTAGCTACCTTGGCTTGCAGATCACCCGGAAACGAGCACGCCGCACCATCACACTGAATCAGTCACACATGGTGCAGCAGGTCCTTCAGCGCTTCGGCTTCACCTGGTCCTCGCCACAGTCCACTCCTCTGGCTACAGGTCACTCGCTCTCAGCTCCACCTTCGGACGAGTCCGTAGAGCCGAGTGGTCCTTATCCAGAGCTGGTGGGCTGCCTCATGTACCTGATGACCTGCACTCGTCCTGACCTTGCGTACCCTCTTGGCCTTCTGGCCCGCTACGTGGCTCCTGGTCGGCACCGAAAGGTGCACATGGATGCTGCGAAGAGGGTATTGCGCTACTTGTGCAGTACATCGGGCATGGGGCTCGTGCTTGGATGGCGGAGAGGCGTGGTCCTTACTGGGCACTCAGACGCGTATTGGGTTGACGACTAGGTTACGCAGCGGTCGTCACAGGGTTACACGTTCAGCCTTGGCTCTGGCTCTGTTTCTTGGCGGTCTACTCGCTCTTCTTCTGTTCTCGGCTCCAGTTGTGAGGCTGAGATCTACGCCACAGCCATGTTTCGCATGAGTTATGCTGGCTCACCTACCTGCTGACTGACCTGGGAGAGAGGCCTCGTTCTCCTCCAGTTCTGTACGTCGACAACAAGGCCGCCATTGCCTTGTGTCAGGATCACAGACTGGAGCACAGAACGAAGCACATCGCTCTGCGTTACTTCCTGGCTCGAGAGTTGCAGCAGCGTGGTCAGCTTCGTCTTGCTCACGTGGCCACTCGGGCCAACACTGCTGATATATTCACCGAAGCACTTCTGTCTGGTGATCATCAGCGCTTTTGTACCTTGTTAGGTCTTGTGCCTACGTTTCCACACTTGCTCTAGACTTGCCTGCACTGTGATCTATATATTTATACCTGCATGCTTGCTCTTGCTAGGTAGTGATCACTGTACTGTTTTTTGTTGCATATATACCCCTGCATGTGAACTGGCCTTGTGGCCCTTTGCTTGTGCTCAGTGTGTGTGGTTCTTAGTAAGTGAAAACAGCGGAATGAGTAGCATTGATTGGGTTGGGG